GGTACAAAACTCGTCTCTTCAAATAACAAAGTCGAGTTACGAAGCCAAAACGTAATGACCGGACTTTAACAGAACTCGATATTTTCGGCGCGAATAATCGCCAGAGAGAGGGAGAGAGAGAGAGAGAGAGAGAAAGAGAGAGAACAAAGCAGCTCATGCATGAAAACCATTTTCCTTGTCCTCGCGGGCGCGGCAATCTGCTTTACTGCGATGCCTCGATCGCACGGACTCGGTTCACCTTTCGCCAGCTGATTTCATCGATTATCTCGCGTATATGTTTACCCGCTATTACTTTACTCAAATATCAATATCGGTCAATATTTCGAGTTTAATTTCTGCATACTTCAACACAGCATCCCACGTTAGTCCGAGAGTTGTACGAGGTGTGTTAAAAAAATAATGAGAATTTTCGTTTTATGAAAAAAATATTTATTTAGTCATCTACATTAATGTTGTCGCCTTCAAAGTAGTCCCCTTCGGATACAATACACTTATGCCAACGCTTTTTCCAATCCTCGAAACACTTTTGAAACTCAATCTTTGTAATAGCTTTTAGCTCTTTCAGCGATTCGCTTTTAATGTCATCTATGCTTGTAAAACGACGGCCTTTTAATGTTCTCTTTATTTTTGGAAATAGAAAAAAGTCACATGGAGCCATATCTGGCGAATATGGAGGCTGAGGCATCGTTACAGTTTCGTTTTTGGCCAAAAATTCACGAACAAGCAATGAAGTGTGAGCAGGCGTATTATCGTGGTGCAAAAGCCATGAATTGTTTTGCCACAAATCCGGGCATTTTTTTCGGATTGCTTCACGCAAACGACGTTGAACTTGTAGGTAGTACTGCTTAATGATTGTTTGACCTTGTGGCAAGAATTCATAATGCACTATGCCATTAAAATCGAAGAACACAGTGAGCATAACCTTCACATTCGACCGCACTTGTCGAGCCTTTTTCGGTCTTGGCGATCCAGAATGCCTCCACTGGGACGATTGAGCCTTAGATTCGACAACATATCCGTAAACCCATGTTTCGTCACCTGTTATAACACGTTTTAGTAGTTCTGCATCGTTATTGACTTCATTTAGCGACTCCTGAGCAACTTCCATTCGCCGCTGTTTTTGTTCGAAATTCAACAATTTTGGAACGAATTTTGCTGCCACACGTTTCATACCCAAAACATTCGAAAAAATTTGATGGCATGAGCCAACTGATATGCCAACATCATCAGCGACTTCTCTGATTGTGATTCGGCGATCGTTCATAACCATTTCTTTCACTTTTTTCACGTTTTCATCGGTTGTTGATGTGCTTGGGCGTCCGGGTCGTTCGTCATCTTCAACGTTTTCGTGGCCATCTTGGAAACGCTTATACCACTCATAAATCCTTGCTTTACTCATAGCAGATTCACTATATGCCTTTGTTAACATTTGACAAACTTTACTACACTTTATTTCATTTTTTACGCAAAATTTAATACAAATTCTTTGATCCATTTTTTTTCACAAACGAAAATCGTCGAGCTCGAAAAACACGTCTAACGTTAGCGGCTGCCACTTAAAAAGTAAGCAATGAATATTGCTGAAAATTTCATCGTACTTCAGGGGCATGTGTACCAACATAATAAAAAAAAATTTTATACAAGCGTACTCTCCAAACACGCGAAATTTAAAAATTCTCGTTACTTTTTGAACACACCTCGTATAATAGTGGCTAGATTAAGTTTATATGATCGTTTACACATTTTAACAGTATATCAATTTTTAAATATAAATTAGAATACATTTTACATCCATAATATAAAAAGTATTCCAAACGTTTTGAGCATACTGATACTCAGCTTTACTGACATTTCTGTCTGTTAATTGGCTATTACTATTTAGCTTTACTGACATTACTGTCTGTTAATTGGCTATGAAATGCTTCCGTAGCAGGTAACGGAGACTCGTATAATCTAGTGAAATTATTCACATACTCATATGGAAATAGACCTTTTCTTTTTGATAATTCAATTTTTTCTAGATTATAGCTACTTTCAAGAAATTTTCATGTTATTATAGCTATTTCTGTTAAACAAGATACTAGTTTATCTAAAGACGATGACATAAAGCAAAATGAATCAACAAATCGAAAGTAAATTCGACATTTTTTCACTTCTTTTGTAAAAGATATATATCTCTTTCTATATTTTAAGCTAAAACTTGAATATCTCCTTCAAAAGCAGGATGTGTTGCAATTTCTTTTATAATAAATTGTGAGTCATAGTCACCAAAGTTATATAGCATAACGGTTATAAATGAAGGATCTTTACATTGTAAATTACACTTATTATGATTTACTCCTCTAAACAGGTGCTCTTTAGTTATTATTTCCATTCTGGTATATGTGATCCGCTCGAAAATCTTGCATGTTGAGTCGAGCATGCAGAGGGGATGATATACTGATGATCCGTACGATAGAGTTTTTCCTTTTAGGAGGAGGACCAGCCTGTACAGCTTCCATTTGTCAGGAAAGTGTCCATCCTATAAGCAGTTGTTGTACATATAGAGGAACATTTCTGGCCCTATATTCATTGCCATTTTCAAGGTAATGTTTGGAATACCGTCAGGCCCAGGTGCCTTCTTGTTTCTCGTTCTTACACTCGTGCTTATTAGTTCCTCCAGTATGATCGGTGAAATGATCCCTCCCTTGATGTGAGGTTGTCGATTTGGAGCTGCGGTTGTTGCGGGACAAGATTTGTAACAATTTTCTCTTACGAAATCGGGCAAGTAGGTGAGGACAGTGCCTATGGTTTTACCCTTTTCATCACATGTATATAGCCTGCCCCTTGGGTCGCATTCTACCTCTTCTAATAGTTCTTGCCAGCATTTTGCTTTACTGCTTTTGATAGCCTTGGTCAGATTGCGTCGTGCTATATAGTGAAACTCCTTCAGGTCTCTATAGTTCGGCTTTTTCAGGCTCACGTGGCTTTTTTTCTTATTTTGATGCTCTCCTGTCGGCGTTTGGCGGTGTCATCATTCTATTAATACATGGGCAGATAGTCATCCTTTTGTGCACTGCTGGCGGCAAGGAGCTCACTATTGAATGCTTCTTGGAATAGTTCTGCATCAAGTTTATTCGCATTTCATCCTCTGAAATTCACTCTTTTGAGGTGAGGTCTCATCTTGGTTGGTCCACTTATTATCGTCCAGCTAATAAGCCGATGGTTGTTTTCGTTGAATTCGTCGAGCACTTTCCAGCCATTTTCTCCTCTAACTAGGCTAAAGCTACTTATATGGTGTTGTATTAATTGCAGATATTATACTTTATGTACTATAACTTTTAATAAAAAAGAAATTGATGCGATTTTTCGATTTATGCTTGTTTTATTCAAACGCTATCATTTTTCGGTTTATGCTCATTTATTTTTATTATTTAGTGCTGCAAACGTTATTTAATTCTAATTCGAATGCTTTTAGATAGTTGGGTACTGGAACCAATTGTTACGCTAAAACCTAACATTTAAAACGTACCAATGTGAAATCTAGTAGATAAGGCTCACTTATGTTTCATGCATATATTTTAGCTATAGCATAAAAAGGAGAAAGTAGTAAGATAAATCAATGAGTGCTACAATACCTGGAATCTTTTCGTTGAGATGTCTCGTAGATCTGGTTAAGAAATGCAGAAATAGACTAGTTTCGTATTTTCTGACCAAGGAATATCTATTGATGATCGAGTTTCCGATATCCGTCTCGAATGTGTGCATGTTCTGGGTATTGAGGAGTGTCATATCCAGTTAAGATATCGTCCGCAGCAACTGAATTCCTTTTGCATCCGTTTTCTTGCTATCCTATTCCACTGACCAGGTGTTGAAGTCCCCAGCTATGACACTGAAGGGCGTGCTCCTTAACATATTAAGAGAGCCTGTCTATCGAGTTTTTGAATTCATGAATTTTCAGGTTGGGAGGAGTATAGATGCTATAATAGTACACGTTTCCAAGTTTGACCCTGATAAACCATCTTTGCGTGCTATCGACTTGGTCCTCGAAAGTACGTCTCGGGTCTGGTGTAGAGATCAGCAATGATAAACAGATCCATCATCATCTTTGTAATTATTTGAGTCAGCAGATTGTGTGCCAATTTATAATGGCTTAGATTGTGCTATAACACTCTCATTTTTTCCTAACTGGTAGGTTCTAATTGTTCTTCTCGTGGAAGACAAGGCATTTATAGCTTTCTACTATGTAATGGTGTTTTTTGATCCTTTCAGCACTCAAGGGACGGTGTGAATCATTTCAGCATTCCGCAATCAGGACATATTTTATGTCCTGACTTCCCGCATTTGGTGTAGAGACTAGATCTGTCGATCTGACTTGGGCAGTCACTAGCAATATATCCTGGGTTCCAGCACTGAAATACTTTTTCGTTTAATAATTTTTTGATCAAACAGTTTAATAAGACAATTCATATTCTATCCTGTTCGCCCATGATTTTTCTGGCCACTTCGTCTGGTAGCTTAACCAAGGCAATTTGGGTTCCCTTGCAAGCTGGCAGCAGTGCTCTTAATAGCGTTATTTGCTACTGTAAATTCATTACCAGCTGCGTTTCAAAGGGTCGTTTTGACTTTTCCTTGGGTAGTTGTTTCCTTGAGGTCCCTTATCAATAGCTCCACCTCGTGAGATTTACCGGCTACGCCTGCTTGATTTCTTAGTACATTAGCTACTTTTCTTTGGAGTGATTCCAACTTGTCCCCTTTCTTCCTGTCGAGGACTAACAACCATTTATTGTGTGGGTGTGTATGTGTGTAAGAGATGAAATTAATTTTATTGATGAACAATGAAATTGTAGAATACTAAATGAAATTTCTGTCTATTTTTATATCAGATTAATGCAAATGTCAGGTATAAAAAAGATCACTTGCAAGTAAAATATTATGAAAGATAATTTACATATTAATCAAACTTTTGATGCTGCTTACAGCATTAGAAAATAATAATAATTGATTATTAATTATTTCAGAGAACACCATCCATCAATAAAACGTACTGGAATTGAAGATGAAGATCGAGACACGGGGACCGAAGAAGTGGTGTCATTCATAGATCTTCCTCCTAATAGTTTAACAAAATTACCTGAAAAGGGAATTTTAAAAAAGCATGGCGGATATGGTAAAATAATTTATTATTATGTAAATTATATAACATCTATATAAAATTGAACGTACTCTTATAATAAAATCAATTCATGTTTGTACATTAATATCCTTCAATATTTATAGCTATTTATATTCAAGATAAGTATGCGTATTAAGAAATGGATTTAGTTGGTTGCAAAATAACAATTCATTTCATATGATTTTTCATGGAACCTGGAAAATTCTAATTATTATTTTTATAATTATTATTTTTTTCAAAATTTACATAATGTATGTGGCCAAAGAAGTAATGATTAAATCAGCTAATTTTTTAAATATATTTTTCTTTTCATCAAACATTTAGTGAAGTTTACATTAAATATCACTAAGTTCAAGATATTTATGTACTCTGACTCAAATTTTTTTCAATTAAAACTTTAGACAAAATCAACACACAAAGTAGCAGTCCACATGCTATAAGACATAATTTAAATGCGAAATTGTATGAGTAAGCGATATTCTTCTTATATCAAATAATATGGATATTCAAAATATGTGATAGATTTCGATAAGGCTTACACAGGCAAGGTCGACAGAAAGATACCGCAAATTTGTATGTCTTTGTTGCTAACTCTAAGAAAGAGCTCTTAAAAAAGTCTTTTCACGAAGTTGAGTGGTAAAGGCAGGTAAAATTAGTTAATACTGCAAAAATCAGAACTGATTCGCGAGCGCGCGCTAGACGTAAAATGAATCCACCTGACAAATAGTTAATTTCCCTAACTCGCGATGAGCTAAGGTGAGTAAATGAGCGCTTCTGCGATGCATTTTTTGTTGACGATAGTCAGTCTAGCTCAAGCATCATGACCAAGTAGTACAACTTTCTTTCAATAAGTTTTAAATAAAATACCGCTCAGTTCTAAGTCTATTTTTCTGACATTCTTAGCTAGTGTATGTCATTCGTACAATCGCTGCTACATTAATTTATTTGATTTACAGCATTTTTACTAACTTTGTTGCTTCTCCGCTATTGAATACTATATTTCATATTATGAAATCTGTATTATTCCATAAACCTTCGCTATTCACGCGAACACGTGAATTATTCGCTTATAAAATAATGTAAAAACAAGACATAACGTTGGTGATAGCAACAGTAAGATACTTTTTCAATAGAATATTTGTACTCAGCCCTATTAACAAAATGAATTACATCACACAATAAGACTCGAAGTCTCCCACCGCGGGTTCGTTAGTCAACTCATACACGCACATTCGTATCGCTATTACATATCAAGTATATGTTTTTTTTTCTTTCCTCTCTCTATATACGTACACACAAAAAGTTAGAAAAGTCCGGATACCAGAGTTCTCAATCACGACCCGTGTTGCTCACCAATATCTAAATACATCATAACACGCTAATTCTGCTTTCGCAAACGCATTTTTACAAAAAAATCTATTAAAAACGCCTAAGAGTTCGATCCACACGCATTATTTTTCATATTGGACAAAATGCCGAAACTGAACGAAGACTTTGAACACTCACGTGACAATGGATCTTCCTAAAATTCTCGAGGTGATCTAACGGAGTTGGCCAAACTTGAACGTAAAAAAAGAGAGCTAGGCATTCGAGACGCGGCGCTTGTTGCCGAAAAAGCCCATGTCAACGAGGGAGCGGGAAAAATTACGCAAGAGGTTACCATTGCTCTTGACAAAGAAAACAAAAAAACAAAGGAACTTAAAAAACAAATTACATTACTACACGTAGCACATGACCGGGTAGATAATTCAACGGCCCTTATCACACCAAATCAAAATTTGGTTGACTCAACACAAACACCGATGACCTCGGATTTGCCAGATAGCTTCCTGTCCCAAATACGACAGCGACTATCCTTTTATCACACACCGCGATCAAGACCATTCGAAACTTCACCCACGGTACCTTGTAGTTTGCCTACTACTGTCACAGTTAAAGACGCCATGGCTAATGTTCCCCGTTTTGACGATACTGATTTACACGCGTTTATAAGAGTGTACCGCCGCGCAAAAGCTTTAGTACTATAAGAAGTTTTGTCTTAAATGATCTAGCTGCTTACCAACAAATTAAAAAATACAGCGTACGCAGCTATACAAGGGCTGATCTTCATGGACTTTGACAAGTTCACAGGACAACTCAAACAAGTGTTTTCCTCAAATGCAAATACCCATCCGAGAAGAGATAGCGGCCCTAATACGGTGAAAGAACGATACCGTATTAGAGTACATCCTACCAGTTATGGATATCCGAGACAATATTTCTGACGCTACGCGACTAGAAAATGACAGAGAAATAACTTTGATGGAAAAGGCTAAACTTGATAGTGAGACCATCGAAGGATTCAGGGACAGGCTCCATTGCGAATTTTGAAGCCATCTTCAAATGAAACCGGGCATTACATTACCAGAGATGTTCAACGACGCAATAATAGCGGACAAACAACAAGAACGCGACCGACTAAAACATGGAATGACGGACAGAAAGCCAAATAATACGATGAATACAGCACCAGTTTACGCGAACCATCCACAACATACCCAGAATACAACGCAAGAATCCCTTCCCAACAACCTATGCTCAACAGTGTTAACGCCAAGACGTACCGTACACTCACCCTAAGGACGGTCCAACACATCAGCCAAGACGTATGAATCCAAATCAGGTGCAGTTCAAAAAGGCTTAATACAACCCACAAACGACTTGCAGCTACTGTAAGATGAATGGCCACAGCGTCAATGACTGCTTGGGCCTCAAGTATAAACAATGGCGAATATCCAATAACATTTAGCCACCGGGAAGCGCGCGGCCAGCCCCGGCAGCACTAATGCATTGGGACCGGCCGAAAAACACATCCCGGTAAATCTAATCCTAACGGGAAGGGACGAAACAAACCAATTTACAAGTCCCTCTAGAAAACCCCGACGACATTCTTATTGTCGAAATCACATCTAATGATTTTAATCATAGCCAGGTTGACGCCATGATAGACCCCGGTGCCGAACCAAATTTAATAAGAATTTCGGCATTGCAAGATGATCTTCAACTCAACGTCATTGTCGCTCCCCTTACCAGAGGAGTCTCAATGACCGATATATAGACTATAGGTACAACCATTATATTGGTGGCGTATAAATTGAATTTATTGTTGTAAATGACCAATTCCACATCAGCACCCAAGCTCTTTTAGGAGCAAATTTTCCTAGATCAAATCACGCAGTAGTTAATTTTGAACAGGAAGTATTGCAGAATCCGATGAACTAATACCCCTTCTTCAATAAAATGATCCAAGAAATCCCACCATGTACTAAATTAACCCTAAAAGTACCTCTTAAAAATCTAATCTCATTCTATAAAGACTATATCCTTATTTTGGAATTTGGAAACTCTTACGTTACAGCAAGAAATCAATTAGTAAATAAATTAGTAAATCTATAGATGGCTATATATATCTACAAATAGAGAATAGTAACGATTTTCCTGTCAAGATTAGATTCCCAACATTAACGCTATACCCGGAAGCTATGTACTTCAAATTGAACATACAGGATAGTTTTGTGTAATCCTTTACGAATCTACGTGCTCTCACGAAGTAGAGTCCGTTACCTCCATTCCCCTTACCTCCAATAATTCAAGGAAACTTTAACGAGAACAAAGACTCGATTCCAGGGCTAAAGGACCAAGAGACCTTTTCGTAAACAAACTAATCGATCTTGAAGCATCACCTCCGCATTATGTGAATACGTTCATGGCATCAAGATTATAGGCTCATGAACATATAGGTTATTCTTGGCTATATCGATTGACTTATAACCCTTAGGTTACGGATTTTCTTTTAATTTGGCACAATTGTTGTACACATGAAAGTGAGATTTTTCTTAAATTTTGATGACGATACATTAATTATATCAAAAGTTATTAACAATTAAAGAAAAATGATAAAAAATTTTCAAACGGCTGTATTTTAAAAACTAATAAAGATATCGAAGTCGGATTTTTTCAAAGTATTTATAATGCCTTAAAATTTTGAAATAATTACAACAATAAACAATAACAATTTTTTTTCGAAAGTTATTAACTTTTTGTTTAAACAATTGCTAATATCTCAAAAAGTATATTTTTTTTGAAAAATTCTTGCTTCTACGTATTCCTGAGGATCTTTACTATCGAAATCAATCCTAAAATTCAAGGGCCCGATATATCGAAAGGTGTAGTCCTAATTAGAAGAAAACGCCTTTTGATTAGGGCTACGCCTTCTGATATATCGGGCCCTTGAATTTTATGATTGATTTCGATAGCAAAAATCCTCAGAAACACGCCGGAGCAAGAATTTTTCAAAAAAGAAAATACTTTTTGAGATATTAGGAATTGTATAAACAAAAAGTTAATAACTTTCGAAAAAAAATGGTTATTGTTTATTGTTTTTGCTTTACTATGAGAGAGAGAGAGCGAGAGAGAGAGAGAGATAGTTGTGCGGTAATAGGTTCTTAAATTACGGTGCATGCTCAGACCGTCTTTGCTACATCTGTTTGTGTTTGCGTTCAACTATCGCTGCACATTTATGCGCCTCATGTTTGATCCCAGCTCTGAGATACTCGAAAAGTAACGGACACACGTGTCGGTGATGACATGAGATAAGGAAGACACGTGTTGGACGAACGCAGGTAATCAACCCGGACTACGGGGTCATTTAGTCCTCGCAAAGGGGGGTCCTCTGATGAGTTTTGACAAGGGTCTTAGGAGTGGGGACATTCTTGTAAAGGAAAATAGGCGATGAAGTTCAGTTCCTTTAGGGAAACGAGCAGTGACACTTCTCTCTCTATCTCGCATAGTCGTGAGCCGTGTGTGATACCGCATTTAGCGATAGCCAGTGGCATTGAATAACAACAGCAATTGAAGTGTGTATGTTTGTGTGTGCACGAGTGCAGTGTGAGAAGTTGCGCTAGGCGTTTTCGCGATTGCCGGTAAACCGACTAAAGGGCTAACTACATTAGCAG